GTAACTGGGTATGCAAATTACAAAGCAACAACACTATCCAAGAGGCCTGGGGATTTTTCTGTCTTAAAGTTAGCCTTTGGGCATTAACTAAGGATGGAAGCATGATTTCTTTCTTTTTATCATTGAGGTAATGAGCCTGTGTTACCTCAGTTAAAAGAAGTCTTTGTATTTTCCTGTTATTTGATAAATAAAATGTGTTGCCAAAGGCTGTGGAAAGGACATACAGTGTTTTCTCTGGTGATTTTTCAGTCACCCAAACAAGCTATTTAGGCATACACTGATCATACACTGGGCAACTGCTGTCTCCCGCTTGGCATTAGTGTTGTGTAACGAATAAAGTTTTTTCCCACATGCCATCTAAAGACACAAAAGCTAATTGGACTCAGTAGTTGTCATTTCCAGTTGGCCACTTAGCCCATGTGGATTCAACAAGGTTGCTGTTAATTTTGGCCTCATGATTTACTATACTCACAATCTTATTATGTAAGGAGCAGTTCGCAACGTTCAGAGAGGGTTGCTTTAATGTGTAAAATTCCAAAAGATTATAATTTTTGCCCATTCCAGTGCAGGCAACTCACTGTGCTTCCTGCTTTATCCAGAGGTGCTGTGACCAGCAGCAGTGTGAGCTCCAGGAGGGATTAAAGGTCCTTCGAGGGCAGCTGAAGGTGACTAAGGAGCAGCTTCACCAAGCTGGGGAGGAGAAAACCCGCCTAGAGGCCCTGCTGGAGCAGAGGGACCACGAGGGAAGGAAATCCCAGGAACTCCTGTGGGAGAAAGACAAAGAATTCCACTTAAAGCAACAAGAAACTCATCAAGTAATACACTTAAGAAAATGTGTTTGTGTCAGGTGCTTTTTTTTCTTTAGAGAGAATATTTTTAATGTTTTTTATTTATTTTTTTGAGGGGGGGGGGGAGATCACCATTTTCAGTGAATTCAGGCTTAAATATTTTTTTAGCATCTTAACAGGTTAAAAGAGGCTCAGAGTCAGTGCCAGACCCTGCAGATAGAACAAGAGACATTGAAGCTGAAGCTGAGTGATAGAGAGAAGACGATAGATCTTCTAAAGTTCCAGATCGAGAGCAGCATCCAGATGACAGTCCAACAAAGCTGCACCATCGACGATCTTCAACAGGAGAACAGCCTCCTCAGCAACCAGCTCAACCAGCACAAGCTGGAGATGCAGCAGCTAAGGGTCAGAAGCAAGTATTAGGTCAAAACACATTTTTCCCTTTCTTTTTCCTGTTGACATGTCCTAATGCCACGTTTTCTCTTTTTTTCTATTTCCATTTGCCGGTAAGGCTGAGGTAGATCGCCATAAGTCACACCTGGCTGCTGTAGAGCATGAGAGACGACAGCTCGAGGCCTCTGTGGCTGAGCAGAGCCAGCGCATCCGGGAGGAGACTCTGGAGAAACAGCAGCTTACCACCCAGCTGGAACTGCGACGTGTGCAGTTAGTCAGCCTTACTAGTGAGTTGAATGTACCCTGTTTCACAATCAGTGAAATAAGGTGACTGGTTAAAGCGTAGTTTGATGAAAGTTTAAAGATGCTGTTCAGCTGATTAATGATGATTCTGTTGACAGTAATGATCAAGTGATCTGTGGTTAACACAAGTCTGCCTTTTTTCTTGTTATTCATTCCCTTTAAAGAAAACTGTGTAATTAACCAAATTGTGGTTTAGGAGAATTGTTACACCCTTACTGTCTGTGACATGCAGTTTGTCTCACACTATGCAATAGAATATCTTAAAAAAGGCTTTACATTTTGTAAGAGAGGCATTCCACTCAGACACTCAGACTTTGAGCATTGTAATCTTGTAATCTTGGTAAGAGTCTGATTCCCAGGGAGAAAAAAAAGAGCTGTTTAAAAACTTCTCTTTGGCAAAAGCCAGCAACTAGATTAAAGTTATTACAGTTGCATTCAGGTGTTAACCAATGAAACTGAATTTAATTTAGATAACGCTCAAAAATACCTTCATAGTAAGCACAGAGAAGTGTTTGAAGTTTTGTGCTTGATTACCTTGAATGATAGACCCTACTGACTTGAGGCTCTGTTCTGTTACTGAGTGGGGAGATGGATAGTTATTTATGTGTTTGTTTGTTTTTAGCTTTCATTTTAAGAGGAATTCCTGTTGAAATTAAATCTCTTTTACCAGGGTGACCTTGTTCCCTTGCCCTCATTACAGTACTAACCTAAGTATCAGTGTCCAGGTTAAAATAGACATGTCTGAAATGTGCTGCAGAGAATAGTAAGCTGGCAAAGTACATTTTTACTATATTCAGGGTTTTCCTGCACATATCAATGACCCTCACTGAAGACGGCTTAATTTTCTCAATTTTAAAACACATTATTTCTTATCAAATGGACAACAACGACAGGAGAATGCAAAACGTTTTGTTAAGTGTAGGAACACTGTGTAAACCCTGTAAGCTAAGCATCCATCTTTGGGCGGTCTGATACCTCTAATCAATAAACTGCTGAAGTCAAGCCTTCCATTTACCAGGAATTACTGTGTAGACCATGGAGGTGTTTCTCGAAAAACTTTAGCTCTCCTGGCTTTTAGTCTAATCAAATTATCTTCTTGTCCTGCTGTGTTAAGAAAGCAAAGAATTATGTTTGGTATTTTTACACTGTTAACCAAGCCCTTCTGTTGTTGTGTGTGTTTGCTTATGTTTTACCGTCTATTTCTCTCTCTGGACGTAACACGTGTTTGTCCGGGCACGATTTCAGAGGAGCACAAGGAGCTGCAACGGCTGCACAGCTGTAAGAACGAGGAGCATGAGGGTGTGGTGCTGAATCTTCAGAGTCAGATAAGGAACGCCCACGATGAGCTAGATCAGATCCAGAGCACCTTGGGGACCCTCAAAGGGGCTGACAGACATGGTTTGATCAATGTTTATAATTTAAAATGCAACTTAATTTAAAAGTCTTCATGAACAAATAAAAGTCTGAAGAACTGCTTGTGATTTTCATAAATATTTGGTCAGGTGTACAGATTACAGTGAAGTACTTTCACGTTAGCGACCTTTAGTATCACAGAGACATTTTGCATTTCAGAGAACAAAAAATTTAATATTAGTGAAAATTATTCAATTCACTTTCTGACCTCCTGTGCTTCATTTCAGTCTGAGAGATGTAATCTGTAATTCCCTACCCTGTAATCCACCCTAAAGAAGAGCTCTGTGATTATTTATATTGCCATCTTTCTGTCCCATGGGTTTGACTCCACTTCAGGCCTCCAGGTAGCCTTGGACATGCAGAAGGAGATCACTGCCAGGAGAGAGCAGGTGGACTCGATGCAGAGCAAAATTCAACATCTGGAGGAGAAAGTGGAGAAGCTGCATCACGTGAGCTTTTACCATGTTAACTTTTGACAAGTTAGCTCTTGATGACTTAGCAGTCAAAATGTCTTAATTAGTAGTCTTCAAATATGCAAATATTGTTGTTGTTGTTGTTGCTTTTTTGGCAGTTAATTTTTCATACTTTTTTTCTTTACATTCATCTGAAGTGAGATAGGCATTTACTCCATGTTCTCTTCTTGTCCAGGAGAAAGATTACCAGAACTTGGAGACCGAGCGTCAGCTCCAGGAACTAACCTTTGTCAGGGAGGAGAAGAGACAACTTGCTAACGAGCTGGAGGTGCTTCGCTCCAAAGATCAGCAGTTAACAGATAGGATCAGTGAGCTGGAGGCAATCCTTCACAAGGTGGCATTCATTTACACTTCATTTTAGTCATGAGACAATTTTTGACACCTGCAATTTTTAGAAGCGTGAATATGTTGGTGACTGCCTGAAACATGCAGAGGTTTGAGTGTAAGCAGTGTGCGGTGAAGAATAAATGTTTTAAAATACACTTTCTCCTCAGTTTGTAACTGTTTTCTTTTTTTAACAGTTTCCTTTTTTTTTCTTTTGCTGACACTGTTCAATAAAATCATAAAATGCTCTTTACTCTTCTAACTATGGTCTACACTTTACTGGACCATTGTAACACCTTGATTCTTTTCTTTTCGGCCATCCTGATGTAGATTTGTTGCTGTGCTTGTGATCATTGTCCTGTTCCGTGACACAGTTACGGCCAAGCTTCAGCTGACACATATATGACCACATATTTGATTTTAGAATACTTTAACATACGGAGGAGTTCATGGTCGACTTAATGACTACAGGTCCCATGGCTGCAAAACAAGCCAAGGATTTCATCCCTTTGACACTTGGCATGAAGTATTTAAGCTGATAATGCTCTGTTTGGTTTTGTGGCTGTGCATTATGGCCAAATGTTTCCACTTTGACTTTGAAGAACATTGTTCTAGACGTCCTGTGGTTTGTTCAGATTTCACTTAAGCTGTGTTGCCTGTTCTTTTTAAAGAGAGGAAGCTTTCTCCTGAAAACCCTTCCAAACAAGCCATACTTGTTCAGCTTTCTTCTATAGTCATGCACCTGAAGATTTAACATGCTAACTGGCCTGTAGAGTTGGAGAGGTAGCTTTTGGGTTTTTTCCTATTTCTCTGAGCAATGTGCAGTCTGATCTTGCTGGGGTATCCATTCATGGGATGATTTTGGCATTGTGTTAATTAAACAACTGAATGTTCCAGACCAAACTGCCAAAATTCTGGTTTTATACAGGTGTTCAAGTCTGATGATTAGAAAATCCAGTGCATTTTGATTAGTAGCACCTGGCTGCTGACTCTTATGGAAGCAGTACATAATCTGCCCCATTTACATGATGGGCCCACATGCTTCTGTTAATGTTCATTATCCTTTTTAAATAAAAATAAATTAAAAGATTCTACAATTGGTAGCATCATACTTTCCTGTTTCCCAAATAATTATTGTGTTCCTTTTGAATTAAAAGTTCAAAATTTTATAGAGACAAGTATAAAAAGGAACTTTGTCAGTCCTTGTGTATCTCTAAACCTCCTCACATCAGATTCTCCACAAGCCTAGGAACTTTTAAAACTGCTCTTAAAACTCACCTCTTCTCATTGGCTTTTAGCAAGGTTTAACTTACTGTATTAACTTATTGTTTTATCAGTGAGGTGTTTTATGTACTTGTGTTTTATTGTATTTTATATTTGTATTTTATTGTACGGCACTTTGGTCAGCCTTGGTTGTTTTTAAATGTGCTTTATAAATAAACTTGACTTGACTTGACTTGACTCTGTTTGTGTCCCAGTGTGACCGCTTTTTCTTTTTGTATTTCAAAAGATGTCGGAGAGCTTTGCAAACTGTCAGGATTTTATCCAGCTGCGGGAGCAGGAATATTTCCGCTTAAAACTCCAGCATGCCCTCCACTTGAAGGTAAAGCTGTTCTACATAATTAGTAGGACAGAGCTTTTTTATAAGCAAGAATATGCTGTATTCTATGTCTGTGTATAGAAAAAAAAACACAATAAGTGCTCAATGCTAAGGTTCTCAGCTGTGTGTTAGGCTAGGCTATCATTTTTAAATATTGCACATCTTTCAGTGGGAGACATGACCACATTTGTTTTCTGTAGGAGCTCCAAGGTCAAAATCTGCACACAGCTCTGAAAGTGTGTCCACCTGATCTGGACTCCCTGATCCCATCTGCACACACTGCTCCACCTTCCTCCCAGCATGCCTTCAACGCCCAGATCAAGGTACGGTGAGAAACTCCCTATATCTCGCCTATCCCTCCTGCTTTCAGTCTGTCAAGTGCTTGTGTGAATCATTTTATTTGGCTGTACAGACACGAGACATCTGCTCAGCCTTTGAATTGCATTCCTGGAGCTGGGAAAGAAAACAGACTGTAAATAATTTCAACACAGCGATGAAATGCTATTTGTGTTGGACTGCGGAGACAGTTTTATGTGTTTTTATTGATTTAATTCAGATAAAAGAAGACTGTCCCATATATTTTGATTTCACTGTTAAAAATGAACATTTTAATAAATATTTTACCAAATATCACTTCATTTACATTGTCATGCACATCTTTTTGGCTGCTGAAGTCAAGGAGGCAGCTGGAGAGCCCCACTTGTGAGCTCAGATCTCTTGACAAAATCCTGCGGGGAGGGATTTTGGAGAACCCTGGACCACACACTGATAACAGCACCACTGGCAGCAGCTTCCACAGGAGGAGGTCTGCACCAGAGAGAGTACACAGAACCGCATTGTACGTCTGGCTCAGTTCCCACACACCGCAAGCATTAGCTTTATTCTTAGGCCGACTTAGGTCACATATGAAAATCATGTGATATTTCTAAGTGAGCAAGAAATCATAGATGAGCCCTACGTGGTGAGTGATTTCACTGACCACACAGTTTCAAAGTCTATGTTGTAATGTAAAATGTAAATGTAAAAATTTGCCTTTTATCATTCCAACGCTTGTATGTACCCAAATTTCTGCTCTACTCTCATACGCTCTTGTTATATCTCACTTTACCTATATTGTAATATTTCTTTTGTCTGTGACGCAGAACTGATGATTGTAATACTGGCTACAAACTGAGGAGAAATACCTTCAGCAGGTAGGGAAAGTGCCCTTTGTTTTTGTTTTTCTAAATATTTTGCATGACTTTGTGAGTGTGACTTGCCCTAAGGCTGTCAGATGATCACACCATATAGCCATGTGACCTGTTACCTCTCATGTAAGGCACCACAGTGTGCTACAGGCCTGTAAAGCGATGTAATGAATCTCTGTTTGCACACACACTGTGTACAGGGAGCTATGTTTCCTGAAGACAGCTGAACCAGATGAGAAAATAATCAAGTCCTTCAGTCAGAGTGAGTTTCATAAGCAGTTTTTATTTAATATATCTAATTTCGTATTACTCTTTTTAGAAGCATTAATTTATTTTATTTTAATTTAATTTTAGACCTGCAACAGTTCCTTGTCACTATTAATTGGTCTTGGTCGTTGTTTGGTTAAATACGCAGGTTTTTTTTAAGTTGCTGAACAAGAAAATCATCAAGAAAATATTTAATAGATAGTTTAATAGATAACTCTAGATAATGCAAGATAGAGCAGTTTAATAAAATAAGATTTGGTTTAAATCTGTAACAGACACTCTGCTTTTTAGGCAATTTTATATTGATACCAGAGACTGCAGTGAGGGATACTTCCTCACCACCGCTACTCTCACTGGGTCGCAGGTCACCAGTCCACTCTCTCCTGACCTCTGACCCAAACAACTAACAGAGACACGCCAAAATGCTTCTGAACCTCTCTTCTTTTATCAGTAAGTTCTTAAAGTTCTTAATGATCACAACTGAGCAAAACTGAGGTCATTCAGACAGTAGTCAGGAACAAACCAAACTGATTTGGAGACTTTTACTTTGAAAACTGTTTGCTGCTGTTGATGATAGTTACATTTACTTTTACAGTTACATTGTTTTAAAAAACATGTTACAAGCATTGTTCACTCTACATCGATAACATGACAGGAGTCACCTGTTTATACAGATTGAGTCATTTATAGTTTATTCTTTTACTGGAGAGATCAAAGCAACCATTTCAGAGTCTTTGAATGTGTAGGAAAGGCTGAATAACATCAACAAGAAGAGTCATGTATTTAAAGTTAAGTCAGTAACAGATGAAAAGACTTTTAGGTGTGACAGCAGCTGAAATCCAGTTCTGCGTTAAAGGCTATTACACTCGTCCTTTAGCGTCTCACAGCATCTCACGCTTAACATTCCATTGAGTTTCTGATTGATCATAATCTGTCAAATATCATACCTTTATGTTTTTTTTCTTTTTTGTCTTACAGATGCCTCATTTTTCAAAGGTCACAAGAATGAACTCCGACAGCAGAAGGTTTTGAAAAAACAAGAATTTCACTCACATGTACTGTACCAGTGTACCTCCACATGTGATGTGACAATAAAAGTGATGTGATTTGATTGATTTGAAAAAACAATCAGCTGTATTATCATGTTTAAATAAAGTGCTTGAAAAATGTAAAGTCTGTTAATAATTATTTTATTCATAGCATAGATTTATAATAAATTTATAATAAAAGCTGTGATTCAAGTAGTTGGGACACATGCTGCCCATACAGTACATCTAGTACAGTTCCAGCTGCTTTTAGGGACTCTGGAAATCTTCTACCATCCTTTGTTTATAAGCACTACTTAAGTATCCATATTTCCTTTATATGATAACAAATATACACACCTCTTGTTATTGATCTTTATCTTACTCTTCAAAAAAAGGAGATTCTTTGGAAATAAAGTCATACTTAAACACCCTTGTCCTTTGTATCCTCTGAAGCTTTTTCCATATACAAACGATGTGGACCTACCACACAGAGGTCTTTAAATCCAAATATTTTGTATCCTCTTCACTCTTGATGGTTTGTGTTACTTGCCATAACACCAGCTGTTTGTTACGTTAGACGGGAAAGGACGATGGGTTTTCTTGAGATTTGTGCCAGATCCAAGTCCCCATTCTATCTCTTGTTTACATTTTAGTTCAGCTACTTGGACCTGTTGCCAGACTCTTGAATTTGTTTATTTTTGCAAGTAACTGTTTTTTTTCCTCCCCAAATAAAAGATATCAAAATTAATATTTCACTTATATTTGTGATCTGTACTGAATTTTGTTCTTGCTTTGGAAATATGAATAGCCTTCCTGGTTGGGATTTTATACAAAACCTGAGAAGTTGCTGTGTGCTTGAATGGGCACAATTGGTGGCAAACAGACTTGAAGGAGGAGCACCATCAGAAGCATTTATCCTGCAAAAGTCAAACATAAGCATCATGTCATTATAAGAATATATTAGTTCTTTTGTAACTTCTGCGAAACAGTAATGTGCTCTCTTGTTAGTTTGTTATCTCAAACTGAAAAGTTTGAGATAACAAACTTGTTACCAGGAAGGCAGACTATCTCCTGAAAACTATACTTTGATGTCCTTAATTGTGTTCAGTTGTTTTACTGAGACCAACTGGTCTCTCTTGATACCCTTTATATGTGTTTTTTTTTTATTATATAGAAGGGTTTCTTGGAGTTGGATTTTGGACATTACTAAAACAGGCAGGTATTTCTAAGCTGCGTGTGTACCTACATTTTAAGTTTGGCTGTTTCCTGTTTTGACCTCCTCCTCTGCGAGGTCTTCTGAAGGTGCAGGAAGTGCAGAGGCATTGCTTACGCTCAAATCTGGGTCCAAAACAGCCACCACCCGATTAAATAACTAGAGAACAATAAGACCATGTAAATATGTTTTAACACAGTGTGAAGGTATTTGCCTTCATTCAGGCATCATTTATCTGCCTAACCCGAAGCTATGTCATTCTGGCATAGAGGAGCTTACTTCAGGAGTCAGGTGATCCTTATAGTGAGGGTACATAGCCAGAGGGTGCTGCTTGAGTTTGTCCTCTACAGAAGCGACATACGTACTGCGAATCTGCTTCTGGATCATCTGCTTTGAGAAGCAGGCATGCTCTTTAGAGATGCTCTTTCTAGGCTTTTGACTGGAGTTGTGCTGTTCAGTCCCCGGGAAAATAAGAGGTGAGACTCCTGTGTAGACCCCAGGTGTCATTGATGAGCAGAGACTGGTGTTTGTGAAACGCCAACACCTGATAGATGACAGCTTGTTATCCGGGGCTTTAAGATACTTTGCTTGCAACCTTTCCCTGTACCTGGGGATTTAGAGAAACGTAAAAACTTTGTGAAACAACATGAATACAACCCAGTAAAAGCGAATTTGTGTTGTTCAGAGAAACAAAATCAGATATATCAAAGCAGACACTCATTGTGTATTTCCTGCTGAACAACACAGATATTTTTCTAGAAGCTGTTTTTCATATTCTGTTAAGAAGAAGATTGAAAATGTGCCCTTTATATATATATCACAACAGCAGTTGTGACAGAAGTGTTTGCCCCTTTCCTATTTTTTTGTATGTTTGTCACAATTAAATGTTTCAGATCATCGAATTTAAATATTGGACAAAGATAGCACAAGTAAACACAAAATGCAGTTTCTAAATCACGGTGTTTATCATTAACCTCCTAGGACCTGGCGTCCACATAGGTGAACATCACATTTTGGGTTGTCTAGAACAAAATACTAAATTTTGCTCTACAAGGGCCTGATATCCACTTACAAGGACATTATACTGCCACTGTCCTATCGAAATTTAAAGCGAATGTCCTCATATGTGGATCTTATTTTTCTCAGAAACAAAAATCAGGTAAAGAAAAAAATCATGTAACTCTTTGTTTTGCAAAGAGAAATTAAAAATGCGTGCCATGAAAGAGTACGTGTCTTAGTGATTGCATAAACATAAAGCATAAAGGCTTGTCTCAGTTTTACCAGAAAACATCTTGATGCTCTGTGGACTGGCAAGAGAAAAGTTGAACTTTTTGGGAGGTGTGTGTCCCGTTACATCTGGTGTAAAACTAACATGGCATTTCAGAAAAGAAACGTCATACCTACAGATATGGGGTAGGTAGGGCGATGGTCTGGAGCTGTTAAGCTGCCTCGGGACCTGGAAGACTTGATATAGTAAATTGAACCATAAATTCTGCCGTCTACCAAACATCCTGAAGGAGAATGTCCAGCCATCTCTTCGTGACCTGAAGCTGAAGTTCACTTGGGTTCTGCTGCAGGACAATGATCCAAAATACACCAGCAAGTCTGTCTCTGAATGACTTAAGACTTTGGAGTGGCCTATTCAAAGTCCTGACCTGAATGCAACTGAGATACTGTGGCATGACCTTAAAAAGGCGGTTCATGCTTGAAAACCCTCCATCATGGCTGAATTACAACAATTCTGCAGAGATAAGTGGGCCAAAATTCCTTCTCAGTGCTGAAAAAGACTCTTTCACAGTTGTTGCTGCTAAGTTGGCCCAACCAGTTATTAGATTTAGGGGCCATGTAGGTTTAGATATTGTTTTCTCCCTTAAAACTGTCATTCAGAAATTGAATATTGTGTTTACTTGTGTTGTCTTTGTCTGATATTTAAATATTTTTGATAATTAGAAACATTTTTGTGTGACAAACATACAAAAAATAGGACATCAATAAGGGGTCAGTGATGGTGGAGAGGAAGACGTTCATTTTAACAGGAAGAAACATCAAGCAGAAGGAGGAAGTGAATGGACAGACACAATGTACAAAACACTCTCATAGTTTATGAGAGAATGCTGTAGTGGGAGTGGAGAATAAAAGACATGCAGTGAATTATGGGAAATCTCCCAGCAGTCTGACTGTATAGAAGCCTAACTAAGGCATGGTTCAGACTCACCTAATCTAGCCCTACCTATAAGCTTTAAAAAAACTAAAAGTAGATAGCGTCTGTCTCCTGATCATAGACAGATAGCTCGTTCCACAGGAGAGGAGCGTGGCAAGTGAAGGCTCTGCCTCCCATTCTACTTTTAGGAGCTTTTCTAAAGTTTGGTCATGTGAAGTCTTTAATATGTCATGGAGCCTGGTCCTTCAGGAATCAAACTTTTTTTTAAATTAAAGTGTCTCTTCATATAAGCAGACACTTTTTGTGTATTTGAAAAGGTAACATGCTTCTGCTTCACATACTTGCACTCTGTTCTCTGAGTTGTCTTTATATTTACCTCTGCCAGCTAGACACTTACGTAGTCTGTACTAACTCCCATGTCCTTCTTTATCTGCTCAAATGATAAAATGGTTTATATTTTAAAAAGGCTTGATAGTTTATTTATTTATTTAATTATTATTATTTTTTGCTGGAATGGAATTCAACACAATGTTCTTGTGTTTAGACTTTTTGATACTGCAAAAACATTCCCCTACATGAACACCCTTATCTGTCTTTCCGAACTTTTGGCAGTAGCAATATCATATTTTGTAGCATAGCGCAGTTTAAAGCAAGTTCAAGTTTCAGATTCTTACTGAGGGAAATTGGAGTAGTCTGGTGTATGACTTTTTCCAGTTTCAGATATATTATGCTACTGTCACGGCTGGGCAGCAGTCGTGTGGTGGAATGAAAGAGGACCCAAGATGCAGATGGCAGTGGAGATGCAGGTGGAGATTTATTTACAGTGAAAAACCCAAGGTGAGGGCAGAACTAAACATAAACCTAAACTGGTGAAACTAACACAAACAGAGGACACAAACAGAGGACACAAACAGAGGACACAAAGCGAGGCACAGAGAGACACGGCGATATACCAAAATGATGCAGAGAAATGCAGACGATGCGCCGAGGAGCACAGGCAGACACGCAGTATAAATACACACATCAGGTAATCAGGAAATGGCACACAGGAGGGGACACAGCTGGAACTAATGGGCATAACAAGACACAACCCTACAAAGTAAAACAGGAAACTCAGACTGTTTCACAATACCAACTCGGGGACACGAACAGAACACAGAGGAAGGACACAGGTAGGGATGATAGAAACACTAAACATACAACTCAAACCATAAGAACAAATACAAAACAGCAGGAACTGGAAAATAATAACAATAAACTCAAAACACTGGGTCAACGACCCAGGACCATGACAGCTACAGTCTGCAAAGAAAGCAATGTTTGCTTCTGGTAGTGTGACCTTTATAAGCTTTCCAAGGGTATTATTAGTTGTATGACAACTGTATTCATCACCTTTGTTAACTAAGAGTCTCCTTGGTTGTTCAGATCTTTATGAAAAATTCAGGTGAGGAGTGTCCGAGTTAATGTGCCATAACATTTGCGTGATGTCTACAGAGACAATATATGCGAAAATCTATCAGCAAAGACGGTGTTAGTATATCTTGTTGGAGATTAAAAATCTTATTTTGGGACATAGCCAGCAAACTTTTCAAGCGCTCTCTATCTAACTTGACTTGTGAGACACTACATACAGTCTTACATCCACATGACCACTGAAATTAAAGCTCATATAAAATGATAAATGCCAGAAGTTGCTTTATGGATGCTAAGTTGTAAAACTCAAGATTTAACCCTTAGAAAATGAATGGCCTCCTGCTTAAGTGTGCTTTGT